AGGGAAGCAGTCCTTTCCAGGGCAGACAGCGAGGGCCGTCCAGGCCGTCCTTGGGAGCGCGCGGAGCTGGGGGGAGTGCAAAGGCCTCCTATTGGCAGCTCTTCCTGCAGAGGCCTGTGCACGCGCGAGACACACACACACGTGCACGCACACACACATGCATGCACACGCGCACACGCGCGCACACACACGTGCACGCACACACACATGCTCCTCCCCGGCCCAGGCCCTGGTTGGGGTGTGTGCGGGGGCAACCAATCCATGTGTCTCTCTCACATCGATGTCTCTCTGTCTCTCCCTCTCTGTTCGCTCTCCCTAACACTCACTGGAAACACCCTCGGGTGAGGATTAAGAGCAGCACAAATGCGACCATCCTCAGGCTGGTGATTATCAGGAACATTCAGGAGACTAGCCAGGCCCTGTCGCTGAGAGATGTGGGACCTTGGGTGAGCCAGGTGGCCCCTGGGGTTGGAGCTTGGTGACTGACCCTGTGCCGCGGCCTGTGCCAGCTCCGCTCCCACCTCCTGGAGAGAAACATGAAGCCCCAGTCCATGCAGACGTGGGCAGGGGGGCGCTGATACGAAGACTTGAGGTTAGGGATTTTGAGCGGACATCTCGTCCACACCTCTCTCTCCTCTGGAGACATTTCAAAACCATCCCTGGAAGATGAAAAAATGTACTGTTCTTGGGGCTGTTTTTTCCCTCTCTTTTTTCCTTTTCTTTTCTTTTTCTCTTTTTCTTTTTTCTTTTCTCTTCTTTCTTTCTTTTTCTTTTTCTTTTTCTAGATGTTTCCGGCATGGTTTATCGCCTCCGCCATCGTCCACAGGACTGAGAAGCTGTAGGAATACGCTGGTGCAGACGCCAGGCCCGACTGTCTCTCCACCGTGTGGAAGGGACTGGACGTCACGGGCAGAGCCCTATGTGTTTCCCTCTTATTAAGAAAAGCTAATGCCATGATGTCTCTTGGCCACCTGTTCTGTTCTTTTATAATTTTATTTTTCCCACCACATTTATCCCCTCTGTTCTTATACAATATCCTCCTCAGGCCTGGAAGTCCGTCCTCCTCTC